TCATTAATTAATTAATTATTAATTAAAGCTTAATGAATGAATTGTCTCTCCATTTTTAATAGTAATAATTATGTTGTACAATTTGTCAAATTAAGAATGTTACAGGCGCGACATCTGACGTCTTACAACGCCAAAGAAATGTGAAGAATGCCACATGTTGGAATTCTCGGTGGATAATTATACAGCTAAGCGAAATCAGAATTACCAATTAAAAATAATTAAGAGATCAAGCTAACCGTCTATAATGTTTTGCTGATTTTTTATGAAATTATGTAACGAAATCACTGAATGGAAATTATGCATATTTTTTCTTAGAAGAAATTACTGAAAGCAAACGACGTATTGCACAAATTTTATAAATAATTTCCATACTATTCTAAAATAATTGCCACATTCTGTTCAAGGTACACCTATGAATTTCATCATTAATCAGAAAAATATTTATGCAACATAATCAAAAAGATGTTTCTTATTGTTTTCTTAGATACTGAAGACTAGACTAGGACTACATGGGCGTTTTATACGCCGCATGTTGCATGTCGCGTTTTCTCCGCCGAAGTAGGATCTTGACTGGATGAACGTTTTACATGCTGCGTGTTATGCGCTGTGTAACAATTTTTTTTGTATCAAACATTTTTCAATCACGTTTTATTCTCCTTACTGCTGTGTAGTCAAACCGATACTAAACATTGTATTGCATTACCAGCGTGTTTCGCGAGGGTGTCAAAGCGTGTTCCACGTCTGTGTAGTTAATTGCATTAAAACACACAGTTCCTACTTCGGCAGAGAAAACGCGACGTGCAACACGCAAAGTATAAAACACCCGTGTAGTCCTGGTCTTATTAATGGAAAGCATCTGTGTCAGTATTTTTCCCTGATTACGTTGCGTTACGCATGACAACTAATCTAACGATAAAAATACTTCCTTATCGATCAGTCAATACGTTGTTAAATTTAAACATCAAAGAATCATTTTATGGCTTGCTTATCGAATATCTGTGATTATTCAAGGTGTCCCTGAACTATGGGCAGAAACTTAGTCGAACAACAAAATTCACTAGAAAAAGAAAAACAAAGAAATCAAAAAGTACTATTATTTCTCTTAGTGACTTCTGTTAATGGGTTAAATTCCTACTTTTAGTTCAGATTACTTTATCAGTGTTTTTTTTATTGATTAAAAATTCTACTAATAAAAAATTCTGAATAAGAGACTTTTGTTTACTAACGAAATTTAATGCAACATTCATCTAGAAGAATTTTGCAATGTAAAGCTGTTGCAATTACTTATGGATACAGATCGCTCGACCTCGAGTGAAATCTGAATGTACACCGTGACTTAGTTAATCAATAGCCTCGATCTCTTTCCACCGATTGTTATTGGTCCATATTTCCTATCTGTTAGAAATACAATTTAAGCCCAGATGATTACTACTGTTAATATTACCGCCATAAACAGAAACTTAATAGAATAATACAAATTCACTTAAAAATTGCGCCCGTCGAAAATTGTCGCGTTACGTCATCACCAAGGACCCGCATCCCCGAAATTGCAAGGACAAATAGAAAGCAGAGTAAATAGATTGTCTTTGAACGAAAGTAAGAACAGATATGACGACAATGTTCAAGATACTTTCATTTCAAGAAACATATGTAAATCCTAATAAGAAAAATTATAATAATTCCAGCTTCTTTCACATAAATAAAGTTGTATTAATTAGCGCCGTTTTATGTCCCCGATGGTTATCGTATCAACGCGTTGCTTGAACTTTCTCCGGAATATCTTTCGACTACAATTACACCGCGTGCCATCGTGATAGATATCAGCCACCGAGAACAGCCATGGAACAATAACCAGTTTCTCTAAGAGAACAATAATAAAAAGAAGCTCATGACGATTCATTCACTTAAGGTTCATCTAGATCAAACAAAAGGGAAACTTTAAGGAGGAGACTTATCCAACGACATTGTAACTACCACTTACGAGTCTTCCAACACACCAACACGTTTCTAAGCCTGATCGAAATCACGCTGCGACCACCGTCTTGTGTCTCATGCACCGTTGTTTAAGTTTCATGCTCTGCCACAGAGAGTGGATTAAAAGAGGAGGAGAAGGAGCAGCCAGTCAGCCCTCTAGAAAGCTCTCTTACGCATTCCTTACCCGACACACGTTGCACCGTTCTCTCACCTTAAAACCTCATTCGGCCAGCCGGAATGAATGCGTTTATCAGTTTCACAGAGGGCCCGGACGCGACCGCCGTTAACTTCCACGAATTCGCCAGTGTTCTCTGGCAGAACCACTCCGGTCCTCTCTGCGTTCTCTTGCTGCGGAACGGAGCGTGCGCAAGATGCGACAGACTACGACTCCATCCTCCGACGTGAAATCGGATCATCTGTTATTTGTTGCAGACGGGTCACAATCTCTGCACTATGAACTTTCATCGCTCAACTCCCCTCACCCCTTTGCTGTTGCAATCATGGCCGCTCTGAGGTGAAAGGTAATAGGGGAAACTGCAATATTGGCTACTTTTTTATGAATTAAATAATAAGAGTAAAAGAGATGTTTTGTAACCTGTAGTAGGAGTAAGTTATATAGGGTGTTGAACAAATTGAGAGGTGGAGGTTTATGACGAACGAATGGTTCACTTGAAAATTTGGTGCTTGAGTACCTTATAGATTATAAAAAGATTTTCATTTTCATCAGATCAGATTTTCGTATTTACTATTTTTGTAAAGTTCAACGTGTCTAACAAATGATCTTGTATCCAAATATTCAAGTTTTTTTGGTTCACTTCATTAATAACACATATATTTTAAGGTTATATAAAGTTCACCGCATGTCCTTGGCTTTGAACAGTCTGGTCCGCGGGGCATTGTACCCGTCACAATAATAGCTGTCAACCGGTGGAATAAAAAGTATAACGTTCCATTTAAAAAGAAAAGATGACCTTCAGAACATTCCAGCGCCATCTGCGAAATAATTTTCTCACTTTGCAATCTTTCTAAAGAAATAGGATTTTTTTTATACGAAAGTATATAAATTTTCGTCACATTTATAGGATAAAAAAAAACTCGCCTTATATATAGTATCTTTTGGAATTATTTATTACAATGTCGTCAAACTCGAAAGGTGCGAATAGTATGATAATAAGCAAGTGAAATTTCTTTTTCGCACGAAG